CGTCACATTATAACGCCCTCACGGCCGAACGGCCGAGCATGTTTGGTGGGGCGAGATTCGAACCTGTGTCTCGCAGATTGGGAGTCGAGCTCCCTAACCACCTGGCCATGCCGGGTCCACTTTTGCAGATTACAGCTATCCACATATAAAATAAAGTGTTTGAACCCGCTGCTAACCAGGTTTATGCCGTTTACTTTATTTTTCGGATTGTTCTTACTATATTGTTCCTTCTTAAGAGCCTTTAACAAAACAAAAACAAAACAAAAGCAACTTCTTAAATGTAAACTTTTCCCAGGAGGACAGATTTGGCGTTTCCACGTTTGTTTGTAAGTAAGCACAAAGCTACACAATGGGCTATCTATGCTCTGCCCACCGCGGGTATCGAAACCCGGTTTCTAGCGTTGTATGTCAGCAGACATACCGCTGTGCCATTGAGGGTGGGCTAAAGACTTGTTTGTTTGTAGTTAAGCACAAAGCTACACAATGGGCTATCTGTGCTCTGCCCACCACGAGTATCGAAACCCGGTTTCTAGCGTTGTAAGTCCGCAGACATACCGCTGTGCCACTGGGGGTGGGGGCGGGCTAAAGACTACGAACGAATATGTGACGGTAATCCTTTCGTAGCTTTACGTGAAATTATGAAACAAACAAAGAAAGTTACTCAAGTTGCGTTGAGGTAAATATTATGTCAAAACAAAAAAGGTTAATACCGTGTCACAAAAACTTTATCTAGTTATTTTAAGGTTAACATTGTGTTAAACACTCGGGTTAACTAATGTTTCATAAAACTGGCTTTTGTTGTTTTAAGGTTAACATTGTGTAACAACACTCGGGTTAAATAATGTTTCATAAAACTTTCCTTAGTTGTTTTAAGGTTAACATTGTGTAACAACACTCGGGTTAAATAATGTTCCATAAAACTTTCCTTAGTTGTTTTAAGGTTAACATTGTGTAACAACACTCGGGTTAAATAATGTTTCATAAAACTTTCCTTAGTTGTTTTAAGGTGGAACACTTAAGCCTATAATTTGCCTGCTTTAAGGGTGACTGTCGGGTCACGAACTGCGAGTCGCCTGCTTTAAAGGTTGATATTGTGTCACAGACTATATTATTAATTACTTATGTTCCTCCTTACAGGCTGCGTCTGGGTATTCGGAAGTAATAAGCCATCTTTTGATCCAAATAAACCAAACATCTTCTGTCATCCAGTGCTTTACAATTTTGCCTATTGGTTGTTGAACGTGGGATTCATGTGTATGGGGGGTATCATAATTGTCGGGATCATAGGATTATGCTGCAACCTCCTGTTATAGCGTTTTCATTCCAGCCTCCAACTTTCCATTTTAAAGTAACTTTACGACATCATTTTCAAATGTTCTAGGATAACACGGTTTGGGTTATGTTTGTCTTACATACCGTGAAAAACTGGTGGTAAATTGTTTAGAAAAATCTTGACATTAAAATAAAAATGTGAATGTAAGTCTGACTCGTGTTCTTCTTTTTCCAAATACTTTTCAGTTGTAAATACGCCCAGCATGGGCTCAAATAAATCCACAGAAAGGTCATCACGTTCTTTTAAAAATAGTGAAAGCTAGCATTGAAAATGATGAATTAAGATGTCTTTTCACCGAACCACCTGATGTCGCCACAGGTCGAAGACCTTATCGATTTGAGAATCAAAAAATATGAAATCCAATAAAACGAATGTAAATTTGTTTAATTTCCAAAGTCGCCGTTTGAAAGAAGAAAGTAAAAAAAAAAAAATACTACATAAACT